GTGGAGTTAATTTGGTGGCTTTAAGGTGGTTATGTTACATTTAGTGCATGAGTCCAAGTGGGTCCAAATGACCAAAACTTGGGTTTGGGCTAGGTTAGCCATGTCAATTGGTCCAAATAATGGTTTCATGTGGTGTAGATCATCACAAGGAACAACTTTGGTGAAGGATGGAAATGGTTTTGAGTTCAATTGGGGGGTCAATTTGAAGAAATTTTAAACTTTAATCAATTTGTCATGTTGGGCTAGGCTTGGGTCTAGCTTGGGTTAGCCTTAGGCTAAGTCCAAATTCATTATTGTAAATGGTCAATAGGGACCTCATGAAGAGTTTTCAACATGAATTGGATGCCAATTTGGAGGTTAAGGCAATCAATTGGGTGAAATTTGGGGACTTAGCCAATTTGGGGCTAAATTTGGGAATTTTGGATTTAAGCCAAAATCAAATGGATTTGAGACTTCACCAATGCCAATTGATGGTTGATTTTGATGTTATGGGTTCAATTTGGTGAGATTAGGCCATATGGTCAAAATTAGGGTTTTGACCCAAATCAAAATTGTGCTCAAATCATGGACCAATTGGGCTTGTATTTGGTTAAATTTGATCATATCAAAAGTGAATTTGAGTTCAGGACTGAAATTGCGGTCAAATTGAGGGATATTTGAATTGAATTTGGGGGATTTGGGAACTTAAAGGCAAATTTGGGGGTTAGGAACTTAAAGGTAAATTTGGGGGTTTTGGTCAAAGATGGTCAAATTGGCCAAATTGGGTCATGTGGTAGGTAAGAGAAATAAAATTGGGAATATTTTGGATTTATTGGAATTTTCTAGCAATTTTTTTGGGAATTTTTGGGATTTATTGGGATTTTTAGGGAATTTTTGAAATTTTTGGGATTTTGGATTATGGAGGGGTATCTTGATAATTTGGGGGTATTTTAGGGGCAAAAGGCCAAGATGGGTATTTTGATAGAGTTGAGGTACCAATCATCACCAATAAGCCATGGACCAAAGCAAACCCCATTTTGGGTCCTCTACATAGTGGTCTTAGCTAAACCATAGTCATAGGACTAGTAGATTTAGGGGACCATCTACATGAGTATCCCAAAAGATCAAGAGATCTAGGTTAGAAATTTGAGCTCAGGGCTGTGAGTGGTTGTGAGTGCAGATGAGTGTAGTGAGTGCCTTAGCTCTAGACCAACACCCAAGGTCAACCCTAAGGTCCAACAGCCCTAGGGGTGACTCATCCTGAGTTTCCCCCACAGTGACCCCACCTACTAAGTACACATTGGTTGGGAGCAATATGTGGAACTCTAGGTTGAGTAAAGAAGAGGGTAGAATTTCTAATGGTGACGTTTCCATGTCTAGTTTTCTAGGAATAGTCAACAGGAAAAGTCCAATGGCTAGAACCTAGGCTACTAAAGAGGAAAAACTAAACCTCAACCAAAAAACACCGCGCGTATTGGCGTTGACCGATGAGATCAACAAAAATCAATACAAACTCCTAAGTCAACAGACCCATAAGTACGTGTAGAGTTGTGTGTGTGATTTGTTTCTGCTGGAGAATTAGCAGGTGTGTGTTTAATCAAGCCGAGAAGTAG